ATGGAGTGAGACTCCAACTCAAAAAACAACAACAACAACAAAAAAAAATGATTATGATTCAGAATGATTTTAAAACCTAAAGACACAAGAAGAGAATATCCAATAAGACTCCTTAATTCAGGATACCTAGTGAAAGATTTTTTTTAATTATATTGATTTTTTTAAATTATATTGATTTTTTTAAACTTACAAATATATAGTAAAGGAATTTCTCAGAAGCATTCAAACACTCCAGGCACATGTTTTTAAAAAAATACATATGTAATTTCCTGAGTAAGAAATGACATAGTTAATTAAGCATGACATAACTAGGAACCTCTTTAGAGCAACAATATGTATCTCATTACAGCCTATAGAGAGGGATTGGGAACTTTGGGGTGTGAAGGATGTGTTTGCTCCCTTCCTTGCACTGATCCTTTCACAGGTGTCACATCTGGAACTGTTTATCAATAGCAAGTGATAAAGGCAGATTATTTATCATCTGTCAACTATACCTTTATTACTATAGCTTAAAAAGAAAGAAAACCTGTGTGGTTATGGTGAAGCAATTAAGGAGGAAAACAGTAAGTGAAGACAGCAGAGTGGCCTGATCTTGTTGACCACTGACCCTGGCTGGTTTTTACTGTAATTCTAATTTAAAGGGAAAACATTGGAGAGCTTTAGGCAGGGGCTTGAGAGAGTTTGAATGACAAAAGAAACCCGAATCAAAGATGCGCAAAATTGGAAGAGATAATGAACTTTTTAAGTCCAGGTGCTTTTTAGAGACAGCTCCATAGGTTTCCTGGAAGTGCCTGAATTTATTGTTTATATGCATTTGTCCTTTGTAAAAATAAATTTCCACAACATTCACCACGTTCTCAAAAAAGTCCTTTACAGATTTTAAGAATCATTCATCTATTTGACACTCACTTTAGTTGAGAAAATGAAAACCTAAAGAAGTAAAATGGTTCAAAATCAGGTTAACAAATTGATGAGGTCACAGCGGGTTTCTGATGCTGACTACCCTGTCTCATCTGGTTCCCTTATCTCTCCCTGACCCAATGCTTTTGATTAACAGAACGTAATTATAAGGATCTGGCACACAGCACAAGAACCCAGTGTCTGAACCCTGAACCAGCTAGCCAAGTCACCAGGAAAGAGTGTGAGCTGATTGTGTGATCCATAAGAAATTGAAAGTCAATACAAAGACTTGAAAGCAGTCCTTCATGATTCCCTCATCAAATTCGTATACCTTTGTAAATTGCTTATAGTAAATGTGTATTATTCAGAAACAAAGAACAGAGTACCATATATTCTCACTTATAAGCAGAACTTGAGCAATTATAATACTATCAGAAAGGGATTGTCAGTGGTGGGAAACTCTCAGGGGAGTTAGGGTGGGATTGGCAGTTGAGAGAAACTGCTAGGGGAGGGAGGGGCATACCTCATCAACAAGAGTACCTGCATAATCAATGTTTGTATACCAAACCCTGAATTGTACCCCACATCTTTATAATAAAAAATAAGTGTGTATTATTAAAATTACAAAAGAATATTATAAATAATAAGCTATTCGTTTTGAAATAAGCCAGCCATCCTGTGCTATAGAGAAACTAATAATGTACAATTGGCATGCAACTGCTGTAGTTTCCTTCCTTTGGAGACATCACAATGAGTTCATGCTAGATCTTTCCCAGTAGAGATTTCAGTTAGGTGTAAATAAAGCTGTTTAATTAGAAGGCCACATATCAAAGTGCGTGTCACAAAGAATGGCTCATGTCAGCCTTCAGAGATTCCAGTGTACAAGGTTCTTTCTTCACCAATCTGGGGGGAAAAATTGGATCACCCCAAATTCTTTCCCAGTTCTATGGTTTATAGAAATATCAGGGTACGCTGATGGTCTTGGAAGGTCCCAGGTTACTGAAATAACCCTAACATTCTTTGCTTTATGTTGAGTACTGAGAACATAGCTATGATACTGATTGGAGCCTAATTAATGAACTCAAGGTTTCTATCAAACCTCCCTGGTACAAACTGTGTAAGTACATGCCAGAAAGTTATGTTTTTATTTTTTATTTTTTATTTTTTGAGTTGGAGTCTCACTCTGTCACCCAGACTGGAGTGCAGTGGCCGCTCCCGGCA